CAGAGACTGTAAATATCACTTTCTGGATACTCCATCCCATCTCTTACCTGTCATATTTGTTTATCTTACCTCTCTGATTTAGATTTTCAGATATTACCTTTCAGAACAGATTTTTTTTTCCCTATCTGATCTCTTCCTCTCCAGTCTCACACCCTCAAATCCTGCTAAAATATCCTTTCAAAATTCATTTTTGTTTAGGTTCTTACTTTCCTCACAGTCACTTAATGGCCCCTCGCCTTTGGGAAAAATCAGTTTTAGTGCTGGTTGTGTGCTGACCTGCTTAGCTCTGAAGCCTCATCAACTGTTCCTGGTCGTCTACACTAAGCCCACACTGGGTCATTGCTAGTCCTCAAAGACACATCATTCCCTTTTTCAGATGCCCTCAAGCACACTGTTGCCTTCACTTGACCTGCCTTGGCATCCCCTCAGACCTGGCTGAGGTCTGGAGATACCTTGCTGCACATCACTTCACCTGAGTCCAGGCCAGCTCATAGTGCTCCCGACATGCTGTCCTGCTGGTCCACCTGTCTCCTGCTTTGTCGCCTCTCTGTATCTATGACTAGCAAGGCAGTGGGCTTGGAGTAAGCATCCAGTAACAGATTTATTCAGTTACTAGTTGATTGGTTAATGAGAAACACCTTGGTAAAGGTTACTGAAGCCAGAGATGATAGGTGAAAATGAATATCAATAAAATACCAATTTACCCTTTGGTTTTATGGACTACTAGATATTTTCAATAGAAAGTCAAATTCAGCCAACTATTTTTTATTCAATAAATCTCAGAAAGAGAACTTTGGTTAATTAATTAGGATAAATAACCAAAAATAAAATGGACACCCCATTTACAAAGAATTCGAGGCTGGACATGGCAGTAATCCCAGCACTTTGGGAGACTGAGGTGGGTGGATTGCTTGAGCCCAGGAGTTAGAGACCAGCCTGGGCAATATAGTGAGACCACATTGCTACAAAAAAAAAAAAAAAAAATTGGCTGGGCGCAGTGACTCACACCTGTAATCCCAGCACTTTGGGAGGCTGAGACAGGTGGATCACAAGGTCAGGAAATAAAGACCATCCTGGCCAACATGGTGAAACTCTGTCTCTACTAAAATACAAAAATTAGCCGGGCGTGGTGGCATGTACCTGTAGTCCCAGCTACTCAGGAGGCTGAGGCAGGGAAATCGCTTGAACCTGGAAGGTGGAGGTTGCAGTGAACCAAGATCACGCTACTGCACTCCAGCCTGGATGACAGAGCAAAACTCCAACACACACACACACACACACACACACACACACACACACACACACACACAAACTAGCTGGGCATGGTGGCACATACTTGTGGTCCCAGCTACTCAGGAGGCTGAGGTGGGAGGATAACTTGAGCCTGGGAGGTGAAGGTGTGGCAAACCAATATCCTGTCACTGCACCCCAGCCTGGATGATAGAGTGAGACCCAAGAAAGAAAGAGAGATAGGGAGAGAGACAATTCAAATATCATAAAATACTTGTAACACCAAAGATCTCCTGAATGTAGTTCTACCATTCTTCAATTATTCTGAAGACTGAGCCTCACAGAATTTTAAGGGTACCATCACGAGCATCATATTTCTAGTGCTGTTTGTTGGTACACTTTTCAGAATCTGTTTCCTCTCTGAGTGTGGACTGTGAGAGTTGGCGCTCAGTGGAGTGGTTGTTTCCCTGTTACCTACCCGTTCCTCATGGGGCTCCTGTGTCCTTGTCATTGAGTAGTTCGGCACATTACGGCTTCTGCTTTTGATCAAAATGGTTAACAGTTGAGTGGATTTTATCTCTGAAGAGAGAAGCCTAAGTCAGTAATCTTTTTTCTTTACTGAACCCTGAAGGAAAAACTGTCAATTCCTAGGACTATTCTTAATTACATTTTTAAAAGTTTTCAAGGTAGACATTAATAGTCTTGTATTTATTTAAAGCAAAAAGCAACCTTACATTTTCTAAAGGAGTGTAATTTTCATTGGTCTTTTTTTTTTAAATCATAGTTTAATTAAGGTTTCTTGTTTTCAGATATTTGCTTCTTTTTTATAAGCTGTTTGATATATTAGAGTCAGTGCTATAAAACCATTTGTACAATGCTTTAGACATTTGGTTATAATTTCTTTGTCTGCCAAGCATTTTTCAATAAAGCAAAATTTTGGCTCAAATGGTCTTAAATGTGAAATTTATTAACCTCAAGATGACCTATGGCCACATATTTTCTTCATTGCATGTTTTATCTGCTAAAGTATTTATTTTATTAGGTATTGAATTGATAGCTATAAACTATGCTGTTTGGCATCAGGGTAAACTGACATACTGTTGTACAAATAAACAGTTCAAGTCATTTGAGAACTTTTGGTTATGGAAATTTTCAGACATATATCCAAACAGAGCAGTTTGACAAATCCAATTGACCTATTGGCCAACTTCAGCAGCAATCATCTCATGGCCAGTCATATTTGATCTGTGCCCCAGGGCTCCCCACTACCCCTGGGATCTGTTATTTTGAAGCAAATCCCAGATATTAGATCATTTCATCCATACACACATAAGATAAGGACTGATTTAAAAAGAAATAATCATAATACCATTATCAGATCTGGAAAAAGTTACCAGTAATTCTTTAATTTTATCAGATATCCAGTCAATGTTCAAAATCTCATAGAAGCTTTTTAGACAGTTAGTTTGTTCATATCAAGATTCAGTCAAGGTCTACACGTTACTTTTGGTTGATATGTCTCTTAATTAAGAAAAATAAACCTCTCTTGAGTCACTTTTGGTGCTCAGTGAAGTGGTTGTTTCCCTGTTACCCACCCATCTTTAGCTGAATAAATTGAGTTCTTTGTTCTGTAGGTTTCCTCACATTCTGGATTTTTTAGATAGCTTCCTCATGGTATCATATAACCTGTTCCTCTGTCCCTTGTGTTTTCAATACATTTGTGGTGAAAAAGGAAGCTTTATCAGTTTGAGGTTTGATTGTATGTTGTTTACTTCAATTAGGAGATACCTTATGTTTGGTTGTCTCTGTTTTTGATGATAAGATTGAAAATTGAATTCAAGCATTACCGGTTTGGTATACCCTTTAAAAGTTCACCATAAACTTTTCACCTAATAGTTGTAGCACCATTGGTAATTGTTTTCATAATCCATTTCTTTTTAGAAATTGAAAATAATAATTATTAGCTGGAACACTAAATACGTTAAATGTTTTTCATTAATCTCTGAAGTACAGTTCATACAGGAGGAGCAGGATAGATGCCTGATTAGTTAGCAGTTTTCAGAATGAGTTGGTTTCTTCGTATTTTTCAAAGATCATTACTGATTTTTTATTTTTTGATTGCCTTTATGAAGTCATGATGTGAGCATAATTTGAGGAGCTTCAGTGTAGTGTTTTTTTAAAATATAGTTGCACTCTCTTTGGGGGAAGTCTCTTCAAGTGGATCCTGGGTCCCGACGGTACAGCCTCGCCGTGGGGTGCCATGTTCCATGCTCTTGGTGGTTTCCTTGCCTCAGTAGAATCAGCCATTGGGAGGAGTTGATGAAATATGAAATATGAATATCTTCCTCTCTTTTATTTCTTTCTACGCTGTGTCTCTGTCCACTCTATCTACCCCTTGGCTTTTTCTAACCGCATAGCTCTCGTTCAGTCTCACCCCAAAGTCAGTTCTGTAGGTGGATTGTCGCAGCAACAGTTACGCTACCTAGTGCTTCTCATATTCCAGCAGCACCATCACTTCCATTCAGAAGTCAGTGCCAGCTGGACCCACCCCTTCCAGGCAGGTGAGAAAGGCTGCATGCCTGTCCTCTCCAGTGGTCTCTCCATCAGTGAAGCACTGGGGAAGGTGTGTGTGTTTCTTCTGTCATATTCTATATCTGTACCAGGAACTCTGAGAATTTAGAATTCTAAGGTGCTGTGGAAAGCATTAGGGGCTTTTTCTTACTTTACCTGATTTCGTTTATCTAATTACAGAGGGACTGTTTCCAAAACTCATGTACACACTTCACAACTGTGTGCCCTATGCTAAACAGATAGTAACAGATACTTGCATAGATGCTACTGTCTTGGCATCCTCTTCCCCCATCCCAGCTATTTTATTTCCTGGTCTTGGCTACATTTGGTGTGAATGTTAGCCCTGAATGTGTTGTTTTTCTTAAATGGTTCAATTTGAAGACTTCATGGGGTGTTGGAGGACTTGCCTTTGTTTTGATCCTTTGGCTTCAGGCCTGCCCTGCAGAGCTGGGAAAGCCTATGGTGTCTGTACACATGATGACAAAGCTCAGCCAGCTGTGCCACCCGGCTCTGTTTGGCTGGGGCCGTGGGTCCAGTGATGGAACAAGACAAGCTCTGTACGTGGGAATATTGAAGGTTGACAGCAAGCGCTGCAGGTTGGATCATCACGTACGCATAGCCTAGCTGCCTTACCTCCCCTCCAATGCCACCCCGGACCCAGGGCCTTAGTTCCCAGGTAGAAATGCATATTCCCCTAGTGTTAGGAACAAAGCTGGCCTGCCAGAGCAAAACCACTTGATTAACTATAATATCTTTGCACTCTGCAGTAAGTTGAGATTAATGAAACACTTTTAGGATTGTCTTAGTGTTTGTATGGGTGGAATGCACTGGACTAGTGTGGGGTTATCAACAGTTCCAAATTATTCCTTTGAATTGGAAAACTGTGAAAAATGTTGTACTTTCCCAGTTATTTATAACATGCATCGCAATAGACAGCTGAGGCTCAGATGATTTCCAAATGTTATAGTTGGACTTCCTCACAAATAAGTCACCATATGCCTTGGTAGTTTAGTCGCTGGTTAACAGAATCTGAGGGATTAAATCACAATGCTGAACCTAAGGAGAGACAAGTTTTCTAAAAGAAACCCCTGGAAGCCACTTGTGCCCACTGCAGACACCCGCTGGCTCTATTCATCTCTCCTTTGTTATAGGAGATCGTTGTATAATGACAGTCATTCTTAATCCTTGCTCCCTCCCAGGACTGCAACGTGCCCTGTCACCCCAGCACCTTGGAGTCACACTGGCTGCATTCAGCCCTGCACTTGCTGTCTGTGCTCAGGGCATCAGGGCATTAATCCCTGAGTAAGCTTGCCTCCAGCTGTGGTGCCAACATTCTAAGAATTGTAAGGAGAACAGCAGCAATGACAGGAAAGCCAGGGACAAGGAGGAGGACAGAAGACTGTGTGAACAGGGCGGAAAGATGTTAAGAGATGAATTTTTTTGATATATTTTCATTTACCTCCAATGTCCACATTTCCTAACCTACCTTTCTGGTTTTGTTTGCTTGTTTGTTTTTAAATGGCTTTGTTTTTCTTTGTTTCTGGGGTAGGGTAAGGTGGAAGTAAGTTATAGTTCTTAATGGCCAACTTGGGGCAGGGGAAAAGTAATTCTTAGAGTGGAGCTGAAAAATGTGTATTCCAAGTGTTCTTGCTGTTACATCATAACAATGTTATAAATTTGTTTCTGGCATGATATTCAAGAAAAGCCTGTACCTTCATAGTGTCCTCAAAAGTAACATAATTCAAATGCCTTTATTGTGGCTAGAACTGAAAGAAAAGTTTTGAGAACTGTTCGAGAGTGATGCCACCAGAACCTAACTTTTTCTTTTAAGCTTGTTTGCATGTACTGATCTGGTCATTGGCTTCTGGAACTTCATTGAGAACACCTTCAAGGACTCCTCTGCCCTCAGAGGGCCCTGCCTCCCTCTCTCCCTTCTGACTCTGCCCTCCTCCTGGGACATCACAGGGCCTGACGCAGTGTGCCTGCTGGTTCCTTGTACTTTGGGCTCCTGCCCCACACATCTGCCTGTGGTGTGTGCTCCTCCCCTGGCCTCTGTGTCCCTTGGGCTTCTCCCACAGACGTCTTTCCCAGGTGTGACCCCCCTGGGCTCCCTGGATCCCCTGGAGCAGTTTTGTCTTCATAGCCCTCACCCTGCAGCTCCTAAGAAAACCTCCCATGCACATCAGGGGCTCAGAACCATGTGCTTGGGGCAGGGAAAGTGGGAGCAGCACATGGATTTACTCATTTTAGTAGAAAATGAACATCTGATAGAATTTGTTAAGAAAGTTAAACCACAGAGCAACTCTGTGTATGTTTCCTGTTTTCTACTCTGAGGTCGGAAATGCCATCTCTGTGACTTTCTCCCAAAACCAGGATAGAGCCTCAAAGATAAAAGGCACTTGGCAAATACTGGGTAATCATATCCAATTTTCCTAACCACCTTTTCTTGGTAAGCAGCAAAAACTAACCCAAAAATACTTATAGAGCAGCTGAGTAGTAATAAATAGTTAACTATTTATTCTAAACCTTCAAGGTGGAAAACTTTTGAGTGTTTATTGAAAATGTCTTGAACATTTTCTAAGAGACCACAGTAAAGGGGTTACTTATCAGCCTGAAAGAGGCTGAGAAGACCTATCACACCCCTTTCTTTTACAGTGGAGGAAACTGAAGTCCAGATAAAACATCATCTAAGGACATCAAGGAGCATTTGGTTGACAAAACTGGGACTTCTGCCTCTGCCTCCTAACACTTTACAAAAATATGTTATTTTTCAGCAAGCTAATCAATGTGTTTAAACTCTACATTGTATAAACAGTCTAAAAATAGTACAATTAGCATAAAAAACTCAGTTTGTGGCTAGATTTTTAAGTATGTAGAGTACAAGACATCAACAAAGCAGTTTATGTCTATGGGAGCAAATTAAAGACAGTGTTGTTAAAATCTTTTATGTTGTGGAGGATATTTACTTGGGACATGGATTCTTTTTGATCAATTTACTTCAATTTTCTCATAATATCACATACTAATCAAAATGTTGAGTGACAACCAGAGTAAATTCAAAAATATAATATATCTGAAAACCCATTTTTCTTTTTTTGAAATTGCTGTCATTTCTGCTTGCAAATGGTGTGACGGTCTATGATTACAGTAATAAGGACTTTAAGAATTCTACATAGAATGCATATCACTTTTAGCAAGTTTGTGTATTGAAGGAATTTAATAAGAGCTTCTATAGAGTCACAAAAGCCACCTTCACAGGCTTTAAATATGATGGATATGAAAGAAACTAATATTCTTATACTCTATGGTTGGGTTGTATTAATGAAAAGAAAATTGGTGTGTATGCTTAGACTTTTGTTTCTTCTGATTTTCTTTCTTGATTTGTGCTGTGACTTCTTTGTCATATTCTGCTAAGGAAAACAGGTTCGGCAGATCCTTTTTGCTTCCCTGGAGTGGGCTGCTTATGGACTTACGGGCTGTGTGCAGCAGCACTGCACGTAAACTGTAAGTGACCACGCGGTGCTCCTGGTGGGGTATTAGCTCTAGCTTTTCCCCACAGGGACTGCAGTGCACCCTGAAGATAACACACGTGCAGTGACCCAGCTCCATTCCAGGCTGTCACCCAAGAGAATGAGTGTTTATGCCCACCAAAAGACAGGAGCAGCTGTATTCATAACAGCTCTGTTGGAAATACCTGAAAATGGGAACTGGGAAACACAGGGTCATGGAGCTGGTCTATTTGGTGGTGTTTAAGCATGCAGTGTTGAAAATAAAATGCCAGGCGGCATTTTGCTTTGGTTCATTTTGAAAACCTGTTGGATTTATTCAGGTATTTCATTCGGTCCATTTTCAAATGAAAATATTTTATAGTTTAATTATTGTTTTTACAAAAATACATTCTTGTATTTTGTCTTCACACATGGGGTTAGATACTGTTTTCCCATGTAGCAAATTTTTTAAATTTGAAGAATCAGGAAAGGCTGTGTAACTTGCTCCAATAAGAGAACTAGGCCCAACTTTTCATCTCCAATTTTAACTTTATCACTTTCACCAAGAAACATTCATAGCGTACGGGGCATGGGTCAGATCACAGGACTAACAGTACCGTGTCATTTTGTATGTCTTAATATTTGTAAATATGGTAGACCCTTGTACAACAGAGAGTTGGGGTGCCAACCTTCTGTATATCCTAACATCTTTGTTTAACTTTTGACACCCCCAAAATTTGACTATGAATAGCCTGCTGTTGCCCAGATAACTTACCAATAACACAGTCTGTCAACACGTGTTTTATGTATATACTATATTCTTAAAGTAAGTTAGAGAAAAGAAAATGCTATTAAGAAAATCATAAGAAAGGAAAATATATTGACTCCTCATGAAGTGGAAGTGGATCATCATAAAGGTCTTCATCCTTGTCATCTTTACATTGAGTAGGCTGAAGAGAAGGAGGAGGAGGATTGGAGTTGGTTTTGCTGTGTCAGGGGCAGCAGAGGCACAAGAAAACCCACATATGGGTGGACCCATGCAGTTCAAACTCCTGTTGTTTGTGGGCCAACTGGAATTGAGTTTGCAGAGTACTGTGGGCCTCAGTCTCAGGTGCTTTTAACAGAGCTGAGAAGGGGTTCAAGGACCCAAGGACCATGATCTGGTGGCCGTCCCCTGCTGACAAATGGACAGTAGCTTAACCCCAAAGGAGAAGGCAGTGTGTGCATATGCACCTTGACCTTCTGACCAACACTGACCCATGAGGGAGAGTTTCCAAGTACAGCAAAGTTATTAACGAATGATAAAGATACCAGGAAGAGTAAAGGGGTTGCACTTATTTTTGGATAAAGGATCTGCACAACAGTATACCAGGCACTAAGCAACAAATTTGGTGGAGTGATGAAACTAAGTACTGATACTGAAGATGGAAGAACAGCGGAGTAATTGCTAATAAAATCTCTAGAGAAATAATAAGCAATGTGGAATTCAGTATTTGAATGAGATTTTCTTAGAAAAAGAAACAAAATCCTGTCTATGAAATGAGGCAATGTTCCTGCCCTTGCCTCTCTGAGCCTGTGTGCCTTGATGATGGCATCCTCTGAGCACACTCTAAGCTGGTATTGCAGCTTTAAAAATGCAGGCTCCTGCAGGCAGGCGGCTTGCCAACTCGGGCAGGGTTCAATCCAGATGCCCCCATCCAGCCTTGTCCTTTTGGCCTCACCTTCGGTGTCATCAGTCCCAACAGGGTGCAAACCCAGTGCTCTGTGGTTTTAGTCATCTAAAGAAATGTGTGGCATGTTCAAAAGTTAGTCTTCTAAAGATGTATATTTCTACCTAGATTTCTTTTTTTTTTTATTTGTGAGAAAGCTTTTAATGACAAGTTCAATTTTTTTTTTTAATTGTGCTTTAGATTCTGGGATACACGTGCAGGTCGTGCAAGATTGTTGCATAGGTACATTCATGGCAAGGTGGTTTGTTGCCACCATCCCCCCATCACCTATACCTGACATTTTTCCCCACGTTATCCCTCCCCCACCCGCCTCCCTCTATCCTTTCCGTAGCCACCACAATGAACCCCAGTGTGTGATGCGCCCCTCTTTGTGTCCAAGTGTTAGCATTGTTCAACACCTGCCTATGAGTGAGAACATGCAGTATTTGATTTTCTGTTCTTGTGTCAGTTTGCTGAGAATGATGGTTTCCAGTTTTATCCGTGTTTCTACAAAGGACACAAACTCATCGTTTTTGTTGGCTGCATAGTATTCTATGGTGTATATGTGCCACATTTTCTTTGTCCAGTCTATCATCGATGGGCATTTGGGTTGGTTCCAGGTCTTTGCTATTGTAAATAGTGGCACGATGAACATGTGTGTGCATGTATCTTTATAGTAGAACGATTTATAGTCCTTTCGGTATATACCCAGTAGTGGGATTGCTGGGTCAAATGGAATTTCTATTTCTTGATCCTTGAGGACTTGCCACACTGTCTTCCACAATGGTTGAACTAATTTACACTCCTACCAACAGTGTAAAAGTGTTCCTGTTTCTCCACATCCTCTCCAGCATCTGTTGTCTCCAGATTTTTAATGATCGTCATTCTAACTGGCGTGAGATGGTATCTCAATGTGCTTTTGATTTCCATTTCTCTAATGACCAGTGATGATGAGCATTTTTTAATATGTTTGTTGGCTTCATATATGTCTTGTTTTGAAAAGTGTCTGTTCATATCCTTCACCCACTTTTGGATTTCTTACTATGTAAATGAGACTTTAAAATCCCAGTTAGCCATTGGCCTTTCATATTTTTTTCTGCCTTCCATTTTATTATGACTCAAAATTGTTTTTGTTTTCTAAAACGGAGTTTCACTCTTGTTGACCAGGCTGGAATGTAATGATGCGATCTCAGTTCAGTGCAGCTTCTATCTCCTGGGTTCAAGCGATTCTCCTGTCTCAGTGTTCTGAGTAGCTGGGATTACAGGCACCTGCCACTATGCCTGGCTAATTTTTGGTGTTTTTAGTAGAGACCGAGTTTCACCATGTTGGCCAGGCTGATCTCGAACTTCTGACCTCAGGTGATCTGCCCACCTCAGCCTCCCAAAGTGCTGATATTACAGGTGTGAGCCACCACACCTGGCTGACTCAAAATTTTTTTTTGATTTCAAGGTGTTTTCCTTGTGGAAGGTTTTATAGCTATTCCTTCAATTGTATGTGGAACCCTGTATTAAGAATAGGGACTATCCCCATTACTTCTTTCCTATGCTCCGCAGTAATGACTGCAGTCAAAGGGATGCAGTGGACGCTCAGCAACAGTCATGGTGCTGCCTGCATTATGCACCATCTCAACTGCTAGGCCATGGCAGGAGCCCTTCCCAGAATTCACTCCTTTAGCCACAGGGACCATGCAGCAAAATAAGGGGCCAGGACCCTAACCTGCTTCCAACCCTGCTTCTCTCATAGCATTCGTTGGTTTTGATCTCAACTCATTAAAATCTTTTTTAAAAAAGCACCTTCTTGAAATTGTGAAAATCAAACAGTGAATCCAACCCCGTTTATGAAGTAGTAGATCCAGAAGTAACACCTCACAGTATAAAAGAAACACATTCAACTGTACATGTAGGATGAATCCTATTTTCTTGTCACTTTCACTTTTCAAATTGAAGTTTCCTTGTAATGAAAAAAAAATTCTGACAGAAAACTAAATTGAAACAAATGGTTTAATTTGTCAGTTTACAGTAAGTTAATTTTCTACTTTTATGTCTAAAATTGAGTGTATCAAGTTTGTGAATTGTATTCTATGCTGAATGTATGATGTGTTCTGTATGTAACATCTTATATTAGGATGGATAATTCATGGTCTGTTTTACACATCACACTTTAAATTTTGAAATGGGAGGGGAGAGTTTTTTTTCCCTTTGCTTATTTTGAGTCTTAAAAGCTTGTTTCTCTATCAAGTTTATGAATCTAAACTCTTATGAATATAAAGACTTTCTTACAGAAGGGAAAAGATAAGCCATGTAACCATTTCACTGTTATTTTCACTGTTGGCAATATTTTCACTTTTCTCAAGGAAAGAGTTTTCCTATTCAGATTGATCATATTGATCAATAGGAGATCCTACTGATGAAAGCAATGAAAAACAATATCCTGGGATAGAAAACAGAAAGCTGGAGAGGGTGAAGGTACCCATTCATATGCTACATAGGGAGAGTGTTCTTTCCTCAAATAGTCATTGGAAAAATCCATTGTATGGCAAAAGACATTTATCAATTTGGGAATGAGTGCACTAAAACCTGAAGAAGACCTGGAACTTAAAACTCTTTCTTTATTCCAACAAGAGCTGATTTTGCTGCAGAGTAGTTAGGACTTCCTCTCTGTTCTACTAATAATGGTATGGTTACCTTTATTTTTTTTAATTAGGCAGTAATTTCAATAATGTGTGTTCAGAGTATAATTGAATAGATAATTTACCTGAAAAAAAATACACCAAAGTTTTTTCATGTAGTGTTTCAGTTTGACAATAAAAAAAAGTACATTGTGGGATATTTATAGTATTTTTCAATCTATTTTTACCAGCAGACTGAACTGATTTGGGGCATATGGGTTAAAAACAGGAAGTGTGGTTTTACAGTAGGTAGTATCCAGAGTTTCCAGGGTTGATTTCTTATAGTATTGTCTGAAGAGTGTTATGTATCAAAACAACGTTAGGCTGAGTACCTTGAAATCCGCCTATGTTTACAGGAGCCGTCTTTCCAATTATGACAGGAAATGCTTCATGGAAAAGCTTGCATTCTTGGTATAGGTTCAGATGGCATAGCAGTTGTTTTCTGTAATTACCCCGTGTTCTTCCTCTCTAACACTTTTCAGACACTCTTTATACAGTCAGAGTAGATCTTGTGTAACTTTTAGTAAATTTCCTTTGATTTTTGTATTTTGCTTAAAATTGTATTTATTTTCATGAAAAGTTTTGTCAAATAGCTGTTTAAGAATGCTTTTAAATAGACTGTCATAGCTAAGGAGGAGCATATATTAGGGATATTATTAATTATAGTCATGAGAGAATCCAAGTTAAAATAATAAAAAGGCATGAAGAAATAGGAGTATTATTCTGTGTGGCTTTTTGCATGCTAGGTTGGCAGAATCCATGAAAAGTGCATTGTTTGAATACCTTTCCACTCAGCAATTCTACTTCTGGGAAGATATCTTACATAAACTGTTCTGTTAGAATGCCAAAATCTATGTTCATTGCAGCATTATTTATGGTCATAAATAAAAGGCAACATAAATGTCCCATAGTGGGAGAATGGTCAAATAGATGATGATAATCCATGCTAGAATACTAAGCAGCCATTGAAAATTAGAAGGTAGATACATATGCATTGAAGAGCAAATAACTCTATTAAAAAATGAGTCAAAGACCTTAACAGACACCTTACCAAAGTAAATATGTAGATGGAAAATAAACATATGAAAAGATGTTCAACAGTGTGTGTCATTACAGAATTGAAAATTAAAACAACAGTAAGATACCACTGCATGCCTATTAAAATGGCCAAATCCAGAACATGGAAAACACAAAATGCTGGTGAAAATGTGAAGCACCAGGATCTCTCCTTCATTGCTGGTGGGACTGCAGGATTACCCAGCCACTTTGGAAGACAGTTTGGCAGTCTCTTTTGAAACTAAACATCTTCTTACCATATAATCCATGAATGGCACTATTCGGCATTTAGCGAAAGGAGTCACAAAGTTGACGTCCACACAAAAACCTGCACACCAATGCTTATAGCAGTCTTATTCATAATTGCCAAAACTTGGAAGCAACCAAGTAATCCTTCAGTAAGTGAATGTTATGGTCCATCCAGAAAATGAATATTACTCAGCACTTAGATGAAATGAGCAAGATGTGGAAGGAACCTTAAATGCATATTATTAAGTGAAATAAACTGAAAAGGATGCATATTGTGTGATTCCAACTATATGATATTCTGGAAGAGGAGACACTGAAAAGAGGAAAAAGATCAGTGGTTGTCAGGTTATCGGGGAAGGAGGGAGCACAGAAGATTTTTAGGGCACTGAAACTACTCTGTGTGTGTTACTATAATTGTTGGTACCTGTCATTTTACATTTGTCCAAACCCAAAACATGAACACCACCAAAAGTGACCCTGAATGTAAACTGTGGACTTTGGGTAATAATGACACATATCAGTGTAGGTCCATCAACTGTAACAGATGCACCACTCTGGTGGGGGTGTTGACAGTCAGGGAGGCCCGTGCGTATGTGGTAGGGCGGGTGGGGGGACATATGTGAAATCTCTGCACCTTCTGCTCAGTTTTGCTGTGAACCTAAAACTGCTCTAAAAAGTAAAGTCAATTAAAAATTGTTACCAATTACAGAATGAGATTTACCAAGTTTCAAGAAGAGAATGTGTAACATCTCATTTTTTAGGAAAAAATTATATTCATAGGAAAAGATCTGGAAGAACATACGCTAACCTGTCAGTAGTGGTTATTCCTGAGAAGGATGAAAGAGGAGTTTATTGGGCTTTTATTATTATTATTATTATTATTTTGCCTGTTTTTTTAATTGCATTTTAGCTTTTGGGGTACATGTGAAGAACATGCAAGATTGTTGCATAGGTGGGCTTTTATTATTATGTAATAATAATAAATTGTGTTTCTTTACAATGAGCATTTAATTACTCAATTTTCTAAATAAAAAATTAAAGATTTGGTCAGTCCAAAGTGTTCAGTATTTTATTCTTTAATGTGGACCTTCTCTATTGAGGTTTCTCCAAATTATTAAGAAGAAGAAGAATCCTGTCTGCCTGTAGAACACTTTTTATTTTACAAAACATTTTCCCATACCCTAAAGAAAATCAAAAGCTTAAATTAACTGATTCTCCAGCTAAGATTTAAATCCAGGTCATTCCAATACACTGCTGTATATTATCTGTTATCAGTTATTGCTAGGCACTCTCATGAGATCAGCACTAAAGGAACACTAGCATCTACATGTAAAAAACATCATTTTCTCGTAAATGACACTGAGGATTCTCATCAAGCAGAAGCTCTCTCTTTGCCATGTGAGCTTTGTCATTTGCCTGAACAATTGTATTTCATGCAGTTACTTTCTTGCACTATTTAAAGACAGCGTAAGGTTCTTCTATGTGCAAGATGGTCATTTGTTGCATTCAGCCTGGTGTGTCCCTACTAGAGTGCAAGCCCTGTGAGTCGAGGGGCTGCATGTGTGTGTATGCGTGTGCATGTGTGTAGTCACTGCTATATCCCCAGTTCCTGGAATAGTGTCCCACATGTAATACTAATGGACACTCAATATTTGTAATAGTGTGCCTGTCTGCCTGTTCCAAAATCGAGTAACCTCCCTATATGATTAAAAGAGGAAACTGACAAATATACCAAGAAAGAAGGCTCCTCTTCTATTTTGATGCATGAAAACAAGATCTTCATTGTTGGAGAAGATGCTGGGTTATACTAGCTGGCTTACAGGAAACAGCCTACAAGTTCTTGCTCAGTAGAGATGAGCCTTGTTTGCTCCATGGGGAATTTCCACACTGGGCTACTAAATTAATTGCTAAGTGGTAGTCTAGGTTGATACTGTGTGGGTGGGGACACTTTTTGTCAAATATCATGACACACTCTAATTTCATATTCAGACAGTGGAGGAGATACATGTTGTAAATGCTTAGAAGCTGTTTCTCATTCCCTCGCTTACATAACATGGAAAGTTGTGGGGGTTTATCGAAGGGAACCTTTTTAAAAACAATACTTACTACTGCACCATAATAATGTAGCCTTTAACTCCAAAGAGCAAATCAGTTTGCCTTATTTTTCTTTGCACAGTGTCCACATTGATGATCCCTTCCCTAATACTGTGTGCACCATAAATTTGGCATTGTATGGCCCACTGTTACTGGAACACAAACTAAAACTCAGACTTCCTTACACACTTCTTAAGTGTTCACTCTGTCCTAATACATCTGGGAATCTTCCTAATACCCAGCATGTGGGGAACATTCAGCAAATACTTAATGGCATTATTTGGAATAAGCTATGAGCTTAAGTATATTGCTGGAAAAATAAAGCATATAGATTAAGCAAATAGATTAAGGCTCAGTAATATTCTGTACTACTGTACTTACTTTATTCAAATTGTATTTTTCAAATGGATCTTGATGCTTAATCTCAAAAGGACTGTCTTTGTTTTCCAAAATCCTATGAGAAGCAGGAGACTTTATGTTTTCCCAACGAATACCTTCTTCCCACATATACTGTTGCTTTAGTAGGTGACTTAGGTGTCTTCTGACTTGAGCATTGTAGAATTCTACATGTAATTAGGTTTTTCTCTGACGTATTTATTCCCTCATTCACTTATCAACTGCGTAAGTCTTCAGAACTTAGTAGTGAGCAAGCAGACATGGTCTTTGTCTTCCTTTTTTTGTTATTCATGGACATTTTTGAACATCTATGTGCCAACCTCTGTGATGGGAGCTGAGGCTACAATGAGGAGAATGGCAGATCATCCCTGTGCTGTGGAGTATACAGTCCAGCAGGGGAGACAGTTGTAATTGAGTGATCACACAGATAACTGCAGAGCTGCCCCAGTGGGAACAGGGACAAACAGTGCCAGAGAGGACAAGGTTGGTCCAGGCAGCACCTACAAATGCAGAGTGGGGTGGGGTGGGGACGTCCTAACACCTCCCATTTGTTGACCGCCTGCTGTCTGGCAGATGTCTCCCTAACCTCTTAAAAACATTATTCCACTTAATAAGTGTTGTCTCTGTTTTATAAAGGAGAAAGCTGCAAGTCGGAGCAGTTCAGAAACTTGACCCAGGTGACTGCTCAGTAAGTAACATGAGTGTCTGAGGCCCAGTCTAATTCTACCTCTGTCCCCAGTCTCTTCACTGAGGCCGTGGCTCAGACGCCGCCGCAGGAGCCAAGTCTTCCCCAGCCATCACTGGCGTTTGACATTCAGCCCTACTCAATACCAGTACAAAGTATGACAAAAGAGTTGAATTAAAATTCTAACTTCTCAGGACTTTGTCTGAAATCGGCAAAATGAGAGTACTGTCAAGGACAAATGTTTTCAGTTCCAGCAGATCACAGCCATATTTCGTGTGTTTTTTTTGCCGTTGTTGTGTTCCTATATGCAGACTTAACTATTATGCCATTCCTTGTAACCACTCAAAGGAATTAACGTACAACTAGGATTTACAGCAGCTAAATGACAGTCATGGCAGGACCATTGTCCAAACTTAAATACCAGTGTTTCAGAAAGAGAAATTAGCATGCTTTTCCTAGTCATGCTTTTTAGTCAACTGTTATGTCTTCAACTTTAAAATAACACCTGAAATATGTGTACTGCTTTAGAATTGACAAGATGCTCCTCCCCACTAAAATGTAAGCTCTCTTAGTGTGGGGGGTCCTGTCTGTTTTGCTCATTTTCTTACATCACCACCTGGTGGTGCCCAGCACATGATAGATACACAGCACGTGTTGAAAGAATGAGGGAATTGCACACACGTGACATTTTCACAACAGCTTTGTTAGCAAAACGGATCTCATGATCTGTTCGCAGAGTAAGCAGTTGTCTGAAAGGTAAGCTGAGTTGCAGAAGGTCCCACGATTGGCATATAGATTACCCAGAAAATTCCATCTGAAGTGTTCCTTCTGTCGTATCAATACACTTAAAAGGAATGATCAACTATTAACGTTAACGACAGTGAAATGAGAATAAAATTCAGTGGGAAGAGAACATACACCACCAAAATGAATTGCAGTGTGGTCCCTCTGTCACCATCACAGGCCTTGTGAAAAAAGTTCTGTCACCAAAACTCAGATTCTGGGCCTGCCCCAGGAGCCAGAATGGAGGTCCTTTAAAACTCATCCCACGCCCACACATTGTTCTACCACCACTGTGAGGCTTCAGCTGCTTCCGTAGATGCACGCACAGCCCCTCTCTGAACGGCCTCTGCCTTACCTTCACCATCCAACCTCCCATTGAAGGAAGAGACTGCGAGGCCACGGCCGCTGCCTGCTCCGAGTCTCCTCTCAGTGTTTGGATGGCCATGCCTTTGCCTTGGCTACCAGCACCTCCCTCTTCCCAGTCAGGAAAGCACACGGCTATTGTTTGCTAGTGGTGTTGGCCGTCAGAGCCGCATGGAACCAGCAAGCCAGGCCACCCCGGCGCCTGTCCCAACCCTGGCTTCTTTGGGCACAGGTGTTTGAAAGAGCTGACATCCTCCCACAGACAGATTTTGGATAACATTTCAAAACAGATAACAAGCAATTGGAAGTGAGCACTTTATGGGAGTAAAAGTCTTGCTTGGACCCAAGAGCCCTTGGGACAGGCTGGGGAGGAAGGCAAGAGTGTGGTGTGCTGCTCGACTGGTCTCCCTAGGCTGATACCCAACTGTGGCCAGACTGAAGAGAGAAAGGAAGTGAAATTCTGAATGGAGAAGACCGCAGAGATGTTACTGGCTTCCCAGACACGGACACTGTCTAGCATCTGCAGCAGGCCCTTTGCCCTTTCTCCGTTCCTATCCAGACACTATCCTTTAACTTATTTAAGGACTTCACAAAATAAATATAGCAACCAAACATTTAATAAATTGTTTTAAATTGGAGTACATTTTTTTTTTGCTTCTGTGGGTTCATAGTAGGTGTATACACTTACTTGATGTAGACTTGCAAGTGCATAATAATCACATCAGGAGTAAATGGGGCAAAGATTTTTTTACATTGTAAAATTCTTTCATGTGACCATCCTGCATATATTGGCAGGTCACACTTGTAATAACTAAGCACTTTGGGGTCTTACACATATTGAAGACTTATACCTGTTCTACTTGGAGCACCGTGTGCCTGAGCACCTCTGCCCTGTGCCGAGTGGCATCCTCCATGTAGTAGGATCTCAATAAATTTGTGTTAATTGAATGAATGAGAACTTTTAGCCATTGCCTTAGAATTAACAATTTCAGCCCAATAGGTAATTTAAAAAAAAAAAAGTACTTGCTCCTGTATTTAACTCATTGATTAGCTTTTTGGAGAGAGACTATCAATGATTTATATTAAAGTTTTTGTTGCCAAAAATTGTAATACCAGCACAGACACTGCATTGGGAAGTTATGATAGCAGCTCACTGAGCTCCACCTCACGCCTGCCCTTTCTGATGTGTCCAGTTGCATACGTCTCTTTGAACCTCACTGGCCTGTCGTGTGGTTTGACTAGCAGCACCATTTCCTATCCATCCCAGGACCACACATTTTTCCCTTCTGTTTCCAGCATTACCAGTTATTTGTATGAAGCAGTTATTTTTTTGTGAGGGGAAGGAAGGCAATTATTTCCATTTTTCCAATCAAAAAGATATCTCCAAAAAATACAAAAGTTCTTTCTTGTCCAAGGTTAAGTCTGTGAGCTCTTTATTATCCATATGAAACCTGTGGTCAACCCAAAATAGGAAGCTTGCTTTTTTTTTTTTTCTCCCCAAATTTTCTATTCACAAAAATATGGTTCTTTTGGTTCAAAGTGCCCTGTGGCTTTATTCTTCCCATTCATAGCTTTGTCTTCAGAATTGCATTGAGTAATTTACACTTATCCCTTTTACGGGCTTACTAGTAATGCTTAGGCTGGTGGGTTCTTGCCAGGAAGCGTTTATGCTGTCGGGGTCGGAGTGGGAGTTGAGTTTACAGCAGGGTGTCACTGAGCATCTGACACTGCCTTACTTTGCTCTAAGTGTAATTTTCTGCTTTTTAGTCAGGACTCTGGCCCCACTCTTCTCTTGTACATTGAGGAATTTCAAAAGTTAAAAACTGCCCTCGCATTTCCAGTCATCCTTGCGCTGTAGCACATTGTGAGGGCCCCAGATCCTGACACTTGTTCTTGCAGGAGTGTTGACAGGACCCTGGTTCTCACTAACGGCACAGGATGTGAGTTTTTTATTCTGTTCCTTAGAGGATCAAAAATAGAAGCCTACTGTGCTTTGATTTTCACTAAGTATGTATATTACCTGTGTGTCTATATGAGCTGGTCCTCCATGGCATGCGACTTAGAGACTCTAGACCTGAGCGTGTTGATCACACATCCCTGCACCCTGCGCTGACACCGGGCAAGACTGCCCAGAGGGTATGAGCAGAGCAGGCCAGGCCCCACTGCCCTGTCAGCAGCGGGAGCAGTCTGGGGGACGCCTGAAGGTATGGCTTTGCTCCTGCAGGAAGAATGTTTTTCTGGTCTCCAGCACAAATTAGTTTATTTCACTTTCACTTAAAACAGGCTTTTTCTCCACATCCTCTCCAGCATCTGCTGTCTCCAGATTTTTTAATGTTCGCCATTCTTACAGGCGTAAGATGGTATCTCAATGTAGTTTTGATTTGCATTTCTCTTATGACCAGTGATGATGAGCATTTTTTCATATGTTTGTTGGCCTCACGTATGTCTTCTCTTGTAAAGTGTCTGTTCATATCCTTTGCCCACTTTTGAATGGGCTTGTTAGTTTTTTTCTTGTAAATCTGCTTTAGTTCTTTGTAAATTTTGGATATCAGCCCTTTGTCAGATGGGTAAACTGCAAAAATTTTTTCCCAATCTGTTGGTTGCCGATTCACTCTAATGATTGTTTCTTTGAGAGCACATGGACACAGGGAGGGGAGCACTACACACTGGGGTCAGTTGGGGGGAAATAGGGGAGGGACGGTGGGGGGTGGGAAGCTGGGGAGGGATAGCAGGGGGAGAAATGCCAGATGTAGGTGATGGGGAGGAAGGCAGCAAATCACACTGCCACGTGTGTTCCTATGCAACAATTTTGCATGTTCTTCACATGTACCCCAAAACCTAAAATGCAATAAAATAAATGGGAAAAAAAAAAAAAACAGGCTTTTTCTGTTCTTCTCTCCCACCTCCCAGATAGGACTTCTTACCTTGCAATTATCCTTTTTCTCAGGAAGAATCCATTAATTTCTGGACTGTACTGCATTACTCTTCACTCAGCTATCTCAACAAAATAGACTTAATAACACCTGAACCTTCATATGTCCTATTTATGCATATGAAATGAATGTCTCCTCAAAAGAAAAAGAGCATGCTTATTTGTATACCATAGTATGTGTCAGAATCAAAAACTAGTTTTATATTTAGAATATGCAGATGCCCGTTCAGAAGGTCGATTATAGTTCTTGGTGTCTGTCTCAACTTTAACAACTAACCAGTAGCATGGATGAGATTCTGGGAGAAGTTTTTCCTTAACATTGTTACTATGAACATCCATGCCTTTACAGCACAGAATTTTCCTTGTTCTGTAGAGAAGATATTCTTATGTGTGCAGTTCTAGAAGGCATTCTGGAATCTCTCACTCCAAGTGAAAAGAATTGCTTTGGAAGCAGAGTACCACAGTATTTTGTTTTTATGGTTTTTTTCCTGCAAAATGATGATAATGAAAGCTCTTAGTGAACCCTGCGAATGCCAGGACCTATGGCTGCATTATCCCCTTGAGTCCTCACTGCAGCCCCCCAAGGGTGGGACAATTATTATTCTCAAGTGATAATTGAGCAAACTGAGGCTCACAACCTTCTTGCCAAAACTCACAGCTAGTAGGTGTCGAAACTGGGGTTTCGTCCCCAGTAGTCTCACCTCAGACCCCCGCATTCTTAAATCCTGTGCATGCCTGCTTTTGAGCAAAGTGAGGTTCAGTCAACCTGTACTTAAAATCTGATACTTTATTTTGTCCAGCCTTTAACTTGCTTTACAGAATCAAATTCAGTGTGGTTTTATAAGAATTTTCTCCTAAAAGTGGTTCCTTAAGATGAAAATGGTCATTCTGCGCAATAACTTGATTTTTACCTTTGGCAGTAAGATACTGTAATTGATACCTAATGTGCATTTTATAAGCGTTGTTAAACACCCTCTGTATTTTGTCTGTTATTATACAGTGTGTGTGTGTTGTACGGTATATATTATATATGTTTTATAGTGTGTGTATGTTAAGAAATTGAAGGACATTTTAAAATTTTCATTTTGAAGCCGACTAAACACCAGTTATAGAGAGCATAAACAGTGACAGAAATGAAAAACAATAAAAGAAAACTTCTAACTAATTTCTTCTTTTTTTCTTTTTGACTTGTATGGAAATACTCCTTTCACCATTTGGTTCTCAAAGGAAATAGTGGTAGTGTTACTTTCTGTTTCTCCTTAGAAAACCTAAGGCATGGGGTACAGCCTGCCAGCAGGGGAAGGGAGCTTGTGTTATTGTTAATGCCTTCCTTCTCTCCTTCATCTTGATTTCAGGTGTCAGAAACTATTTAAAAGAAGCACTGGTGAATATAATTGCCGTGCACGCAGAGGTAAGCTATCATTAGATGTTCCTAAGAGATACGGATAACCGGAAAAAAAAAAAAAAAAGATGCCAGTTTGATTATTTTTATGGTGGTCTTTTTTTCCCTCAGCATGTATCTTGGATATAAATAAGATTCAGCTCAGCTCTTGCTGTCTCTCTCTCTCTCTCCCTCTCTCTCTCTCTCCCCCTCTCTCTCTGTGTGTCTTTTTCTGAAAGTGTATGTTTTATTTGATAATTAAAGCTAAACTCATTAATATTTGAAGGGTGAAAAGAAGATAGATTGCAAGGCTGTTTATCCTTTAAAGAACAGTAAATCCCTTATCTTGGAAAATGCATTAACCTCTTTTTAGCCAGTATACAAATAAGCACTGGTATGTGATTCTTGTAGAGGGAGTGGGATTCCAGAAAGGCAGACACTGCTTAGAAAGAGACTCGGGGAAGGCCGTCGCTGGAACAGATGCGTGGTTTCCTGTCCGTGGTTGACTTAGCGTTGTGCAGACAATATTGCTGCTTCTGGTCCATGTGAAAACTTGCACTCACTTGACATGCTTTCATCTTAAGCTTCGTGTTAACATCCTCAGTGAATATCCTGGTTAGGAGGACTCTTGTGAGGAACATTGAAAGAAGAGAACAGAGTTACTGCCATGATCTATGACTACCTGTTTTCATTCAGTAATTTCAGGATTCGTTACTCACTGCTTTGCCAACACTTTTGGGGTGGCTGCAGCCCACAGACCGATCGGGGGTCAGATAAAGTGGGGCAGAGCAAAGAGGCCACCATTTGATCGTTTCCACGGTTGCCTGCGTGCCCCTTAGGCGGCAAGCATCCAAGAAGGGTGTTTTTAGGTTTATGCCGCCTGCTGCTTCTAAAAGTATCTGAGGCCATCAAGGTAAACTGAAAAAACATGATTAATTAAGACCGAAACCAAAATATGACCAGAGAAAACAAAGATAACACTACCTGGTTCCTAAATTTGGCTAGAAGCTTGAAGCACCGAGAACAGAAAGAAGACTATAGTACATTACAGTTTTCAGTTCTTAGTGAAAGAGAAACATATAAACTCATCTATAACAATAGAGCTTTTATATGATTTAACTCAGGCAGGAATTTACCACATAGATCTTTTTTATAATAAGCAATATTTTTAAAGTATATTCTTATCAAAATATAAAAGTTCTATTTTTGTTATGTTACCCTCCAATAGAATTTGAGCCCAAAGTGCAAATTTAGGTATAAGCATTTCTGTGGTAGGCAGGCAGAACTCTGAGATTTGTGGAAATTGTTGTGATGATGCTGATTCATAGTGAGGCAGTTTTTTTATGTCCATTATCAATTGCCATGGGATTATAATGACTGAAAGTAGCATTTCATTCATAATATTTACTATTTGCTAAATAATTTTAAATTGCCAAAAATTTTCTTGGACACTCGAGTTATGTTTGGGTTAATCCAAATGTTTAATGCCAGTGACTCTATCTGAGAAAAGGAAAAGCTTGAAAAGAAAATATGACTTTCATAAAATCGTATTTTATTTATAAATCAGGAAAGTCAAATGTTTCACTAAATCTCCAAAGACAGTAACTTTCAGTTTGAAAGTATCAAACTTTAAGGTTTGAAAATAATGTAAGTCAAATAAAAGGAAATACATATTTAGTATACTATTTGTAAAATGGGGGGGCTTGTTGTCCAATACAGAATGGGATACCTCGTATGAAATGGTGTTTGTCAGGGTTTAAGGAGAGTCTGACACTGTATTTTTTTAAATTGTGGTAAAATATTGACCCAGTATGTTTTTATTTTTCTGATTTCTTCTTTAGAGATGTTTCTTTTTGGGTAAGGGGCAAGAGGAAAAAGAAGTGTTCAAAACAGTTTGTATTTTGTCAACATCAGTAATGCCTTTCAAAATTATATCTGCCAATACTGTATTTTTAAGAGTTATTTTTTGTTAGTCAATAGAATTTAAATATAAGTCCATATATTCCTTTCATTTATAATTTTGGTCTTTTAAAAATTACTTAGAAGTCCTGTGAATTTTGTTTTGTTTTTGTTTTTAATGTTACTTTGTTTTTAACAAATTCAACTCAAACAAGCCCCACAAGGCAGTATTTCTTCCTATTTCAAACCAGGTGTTCACTATTTCCAAAGAACTGGTCCCTCGGGTACTATCCAAGGTGATAGAAGCAGTTTCTGAAGAGCTCAGTCGACTGATGCAGTGTGTTTCATCCTTCAGCAAAAATGGAGCTTTGCAGGTAACAAAGTCATTCAATTCCATAGTGAACTTCTATTGTTATTTAAAGCATATGCAATGTTTTTAGTCATCAATCCTGTAAGACAGGCTTCTTTTAATACATCTACTGATTGGAGAACCTCGTATTCTTTCTTAAATAAGCCATATCCATGAAGCATTGTCTACAAGTTTCAGAGTTTATGTTTCTTTTCTTTTTTTCTTTCTTTTTTTGAGATGGAGTCTTGCTCTGTTGCCAGGCTGGGGTGCAGTGGTGCAATCTTGGCTCACTGCAACCTCTACCTCCCGGGTTCAAGTAATTCCCCTTCCTCAGCCTCCTGAGTAACTGGGACTATAAGCGCACGCCACCATGCCTGGCTAGTTTTTTTTATTTTAGCAGAGACAGGGTTTCACCATCTTGGCCAGAATGGTCTCGATCTCCTGATGTCGTGATCCACCCACCTCAGCCTCCCAAAGTGTTGGGATTACAGGCGTTAGCCACCACGCCCAACAAAGTTTCTGTTTCTTTATGGTAGAGCAAGACCTTAAAGACTTCTGCCAAATTATCTGAATGCAGAGTCTTTCAAAAGTTTTGTGATTTTTATTTTTGTTTTACAACTATCTTCATGACATTCAATTCTGCAGGAAATTTTTAGCAACTTGCTTTTAATAAATCTTTCGAAAGCATTCAGTGCAATTTGCATAGAAACATCAAATAGCTGTCTCTTTTGTTTAAATTACATAATTACAGTATAACTGCCATAAGCACCAGTTGACTTTGGCATGCACATAACCAGCTGATAGGGGCTGAGGCGTGCATGTGTGCAGATGGCAGAGTGCACTCCTACCTGGTAGCTCCCCATGTGCTGGCTAGCAGCATGGTAGTGAGTTTCAAAAAGTGCTGTTCTTCTTCCAGTCATGGCTGAGGAAGCCCCTAGAGGGCCAGCCTCCACAGATAACAACTGTAAACTTGAATATCAAAAATTATTTTTTTATTAAAAAAAATCCCTGAAGATGCCAGAGAGTGACCATTGGTGGTCAGATTCTGGAAGAAATGGCAGAATTTCCTTGGGTGAATTATTTTTTATGGATTTTAACTGAAGGCAGGTCCAGGACTACCTAAAACTCCAATATAAAACCTGTGTCTTCCTGGCTTGAAAAACAGGCTTTGGAGCAGCCACACCTACAGGTAGTTGAGAGAGGTATCCCAGAGAGGAGAGAGATTTAGGCAGTGTATACAAATTCTGTGGAATACATACCACTCCAACCAGCCCAGCTAAGGCTAGAAGAACTGAAGTAAGAATTGGACTGCTGCCCAAGAGCCAAGAGTTATTAATTTGAGTCCAAATAAGTTAATTCCTTGCTGAAACAAAAAATCAGCAGTCCTTAGACACATATTACAGAACCCAGAGTCTCCACGACATAACATTCACCATATCCGGGATACAAATTTAAATGACTTAAAATTTAATTGAAATGCACAAATAAACAGGAAAACATGACTCATTCCTAAAACAAAAAATGATCACCTTAAGCCATCCTTAAGCTGACCCAGGTATTGGAATTAGCAGGCAAGGATTTTAACATAGCTGCATCAGATGATGTAAAGTGCTCCTCTTGAATCAGTAGGTGGGAAATCTCAGCAAGGAAGTAGAAACCTTAAAACAGAAACTAAATGGAATTTCTGGAATGAAAAAACACAGTAGATGAATTTTTAAAAATCTAGATGATAATAAAAGCAGAATTTTTCAAATGTTAGGGGAAAATCTTTTATTTTTTTTTAAATAGAAATTATCCAATATGAACAATGGAAATAAGGATAATTGGGGAAAAAAATAAGCAGAGCTCCAGGGACCTATGGGACAATGTCAGAATATCCAGCATGCATGTAATTAGATTTTCAAAAGCGTAAGAATGACCAGTCAGCCACATCGTTAGTTAGCAGGGAACTGAAAATTAATACTGCAGTACAATGCCATTACACATCCATCAAGATAAAAAATTTCAAGACTGACTATACTAAATGTTAGCAAGAACGTGGTGGAACTAGAGCTCTCACACGAGAATGCAGTGTAGTATAACTACTTTGGGAAAAGCTCTTGGAGTTTCTTTTCAAACTAAACATACACATATGTACCCCATGACGCAACTATTCCAGTCCTAGTTATTTAAGCAAGAGAACTGAAAACATATTTTCAGTTTTATATATGTTGTATAAATACGTTACAAAACATACTCATAAGAATATTAACCATGGATTCGAGATGAGCCTGGGCAACATAGTAAGACCTCGTCTCTACCAAAAAAAAAAAAAAAGTTTTTTAATTTTCCAGGCATGGTGCTGTGTGCCTGTGATCTCAGCTGCTCGGGAGGCTGAGGTGG